CTCCAATAGCATTTCTTTCATCAGGTGGCCAAGAGTTTGGGCTGAGTGGGCAGCCATATGCTCTGTACCTTGGCCCCCAGTTTCCTACACCAGTGAGGCCCCCTTGACTATGAGCATGACTAGAGCCAATGGCTCAAGGGAAGGGTTTGGTACACAAGGCCTAAGCCCTTGAATCATCCAGGTCCCTATGATTCTGGGCTGCGCTGGAGCTACTGACCCTAACAGGGAAAGTTTCCAGCACCTACCATGTTCCAGGCAAGAAGGTCCATCATAGGCAGATATCGCCTAGATTATCTCCCTATCGCAACAGCTGAGCTTGTACAGCTCTCTGCTCCTACAACCACCAGCACCTCACCAACCTGTTCCCTCTTTCAGGCTTCTTTTCCTGATGGTTAGTGGTTAGGTAGATGGTGATCTCCCCACTTTCCTTCCCTGTTCCTTTTGCCTTCCATCCCATTCTGGCTCTTCAGAAAGGGTAAAGTGACTCTGGGAGGGGAGGGGGGTCTATGGAGGCAATATATGAGGAGCAGCTTCCCCTTTGCAGTAGGGCAAAGCCTAATAAGGCACCCACTTGTCCCATCCTGTGAGTGAGGAAGAGAAGGAAGAGACAGTTCAGAGGTAAGGGGAGACCAGAACTGAGCTGTTCTGTGGACTTTACTTGAGTGGAGTAGCAAGGGGGAAGGACTGGAGAGAAAAATGGCTCAGAGTGGCCAAAAACCAGGATTTTGATGGTGAAAAGAGGAAATGAGAGATGGGGGTAGAGTGGCGGCATGGATGGAGGAGGAGTTGAGGTACATGGTGAGCATTAGAAGGGACTGGGAGGGTAGATGAATGGGGGAGGGACCAGGTCAAGCTGATCTGGCGGTTCCTGTGAAATCACATGCTCAAGCCTCTGGCTGCAAGTCCCAAGAGTCACCGTGCAGCTTCCTGGGCTACAGCTATTTCCTAGGCTCTGCCAGCTGGCAGGGGAACCCAACCCTCCAGGTGCATGGAGAATAGAAACCCCATCCAGCACTGGGAGGGTGTTCAAGGAATGTGAACTGGGAGAACTTTCCTATTCCTTGGGGTCTTAAAGCAAGTTGG